TTTTAACCCATCTGTATATACTAGTTATAGAATTTGCTATTTATGTCATATGTTTCTTTTCATACCCTTCACTTGTATGCCTACATAATACGAGCGAGACTATCGAATAATTTATGTGATTAAGAGGTTGTGTGGAGATATAAAATGAAGGACTGATGGAAATCGACTATTTATCATGCTCATGCCCTACGGTGGCCCTCCAATGTGCAAGATTCCCGGTTGATGGACACTTAGCTGCAACACTCTCTTGTGTACGGCATTCAGTCCTACCTTACAGGCTGAGTAGTTGTATTTGTATCATTATCAATGTTACTGGTACTAGTGATGCGTGTTTTTGTCATTATTTATGCCATGTCTTCCGATAAAATGGAGCTTTCTCTGTTTTTGTTGCAAATATGTACATATATGTCAGTCCACATTTCCACGATTCAATTCAATTATCTGCTTTTCCGTCGATTAAGTTCAGTGCTTATAGAGACCTGCCCTTAACTCTAACCCTTCACAGCTGAGTCCCTCTGGGACGTTTGCCTTATCTTCATTTCACATCACCTTTCTATGGTTAGGAAAAGCTATTGAGGGAGGAGTTGCAGTAGCAAAACAAGACGATGGGACTGCCAACGTGCGTAAACGAACGCCTATCCTGTGCTCATGGGCGCCTTCACTTCACTGTGCGCATAGTGTGTGGGATTGGTACGACAAAGTCGGACGAAGTTTAGCCATACGGCCGTAGTCTGTCATCTGGCAAATGACGGCTGTACTAGATGTGGCCTGGAAAATATGATGATTTCTCCCAGCCACTTTTGCAGTAACAACCTAGGATGGAGGTAGGGAGAACGGCAAGAAGAGATAGTGTCTCCATACGTGGGGCAAAATCTACGAATGGAAACATACCGTGGCCTGTGCAGTAGAAGAAAAGGAAGTCCGGGCCCGCATGCCAAGTACAAACTTGCGTAGTCCCAACATGTGTCCTCAAACACACCGCTCCCCGGTCTGCCAACCGAATGGTTGGGGCTGAAGTGGAGGCTATTGTGTGAAGGGGAGCTGAGGCAGTATGGCATGAGGTGGAAGGTAGGAGTGAGGCGACGAACTCCTGTCGGTTTGGGCCATAGGCGTTTCATATGGTGTCGAAGGTAATGCGGTGGAAGCGATGAAGCCCAAGAACAGACCCAGAGAAGCCTCGTGGTGCCCATGCAGTGACGGAAGTTGAAGTGCTCCTTTCTCTATCCTGGCCCGTAAAGGGTGCAGTCTGGCTACTGGCGTTAGTGATGCACTAAAAGGGGCCAGTTCCAAATACCTGTCAATCAGCCCCCATCCTTCCTGCTCCTTCCAAACCCAATATCCAAGCCATAAGAAAACGATCTTTAAAACAGCCAGTGGCAGCAAGTTGATGCCTTATAGGCTGTGATGCTGGTGGCGTCCACAATTTGCAAAGTCTGCATTATGTAAAGCAGGCGGGATGACAGTACAAATTGTAGTCGTCATATGAGTCGGGAGAGGAGCGAGATATAACCTTTAGCAAGGGCTCTAAAGAAGCAGTGGGGCGCCCTGGAGACAAGGTTGTCCACGTCTTTTTTGGGAGTTGGCGCATTCTTCTAGGCCTTGAGGGAAACAAGGCATTCATCCCGAAATTGGATGGCATTTTCACGCCCCAACCGAAAGTTCTTCATGCAAAAGGATGGATAGAAATAGAATAAGCATTCCATTTTTGAAGCCCATAGAGAAGAGATAAAATCGAATTGGCCATATTTCGACTGGTTACCATTAATATATTCGTATTAGAGTAGGGTTTCGAGACTACCAGTAAATCAGTGTAATGAGATGTAGTCTCGAAACCC